AATTTTGAAAATTCCAATTTTTGCCATTTTCTCGGTTATTTGAAGAGATACGTCAAAAACGAATACGGAATCGTGATCCTGAGGAAAATCCGCGTAAAATGACACCCAAAACGGTCGAAAACGGACCAATTTAAAAAATTCCAAAATTTGCATTTTTCTCGCTTATTTGAAGAGATACGTCAAAAACGAATGCGGAATCGTGATCCTGAGGAAATTCCGCGTAAAATGACCCCCAAAACGGTCGAAAACGGACCAATTTTGAAAATACGAATTTTTGCCATTTTCTCGGTTATTTGAAGAGATACGTCAAAAACGAATACGGAATCGTGATCCTGAGGAAATTCCGCGTAAAATGACCCCCAAAACGGTCGAAAACGGACCAATTTTGAAAATTCCAATTTTTGCCATTTTCTCGCTTATTTGAAGAGATACGTCAAAAACGAATACGGAATCGTGATCCTGAGGAAATTCCGCGTAAAATGACCCCCAAAATGGTCGAAAACGGACCAATTTTGAAAATACCAATTTTTGCCATTTTCTCGGTTATTTGAAGAGATACGTCAAAAACGAATACGGAATCGTGATCCTGAGGAAATTCCGCGTAAAATGACCCCCAAAACGTTCGAAAACGGACCAATTTTGAAAATTCCAATTTTTGCCATTTTCTCGCTTATTTGAAGAGATACGTCAAAAACGAATACGGAATCGTGATCCTGAGGAAATTCCGCGTAAAATGACCCCCAAAACGGTCAAAAACGGACCAATTTTGAAAATACCAATTTTTGCCATTTTCTCGCTTATTTGAAGAGATACGTCAAAAACGAATGCGGAATCGTGATCCTGAGGAAAATCCGCGTAAAATGACACCCAACACGGTCGAAAACGGACCAATTTTGAAAATTCCAATATTTGCCATTTTCTCGCTTATTTGAAGAGATACGTCAAAAACGAATGCGGAATCGTGATCCTGAGGAAATTCCGCATGAAATGACGCCCAAAACGGTCGAAAACGGACCAATTTTGAAAATTCCAATTTTTGCCATTTTCTCGCTTATTTGAAGAGATACGTCAAAAACGAATACGGAATCGTGATCCTGAGGAAATTCCGCGTAAAATGACCCCCAAAACGGTCGAAAACGGACCAATTTTGAAAATTCGAGTTTTTGCCATTTTCTCGCTTATTTGAAGAGATACGTCAAAAACGAATACGGAATCGTGATCCTGAGGAAATTCCGCGTAAAATGACCCCCAAAACGGTCGAAAACGGACCAATTTTGAAAATTCCAATTTTTGCCATTTTCTCGGTTATTTGAAGAGATACGTCAAAAACGAATACGGAATCGTGATCCTGAGGAAAATCCGCGTAAAATGACACCCAAAACGGTCGAAAACGGACCAATTTAAAAAATTCCAAAATTTGCATTTTTCTCGCTTATTTGAAGAGATACGTCAAAAACGAATGCGGAATCGTGATCCTGAGGAAATTCCGCGTAAAATGACCCCCAAAACGGTCGAAAACGGACCAATTTTGAAAATACGAATTTTTGCCATTTTCTCGCTTATTTGAAGAGATACGTCAAAAACAAATACGGAATCGTGATCCTGAGGAAATTCTGCATGAAATGACGCCCAAAACGGTCGAAAACGGACCAATTTTGAAAATTCCAATTTTTGCCATTTTCTCGCTTATTTGAAGAGATACGTCAAAAACGAAAACGGAATCGTGATCCTGAGGAAATTCCGCGTAAAATGACCCCCAAAACGGTCGAAAACGGACCAATTTTGAAAATTCCAATTTTTGCCATTTTCTCGGTTATTTGAAGAGATACGTCAAAAACGAATACGGAATCGTGATCCTGAGGAAATTCCGCGTAAAATGACGCCCAAAACGGTCGAAAACGGACCAATTTAAAAAATTCCAATTTTTGCCATTTTCTCGCTTATTTGAAGAGATACGTCAAAAACGAATACGGAATCGTGATCCTGAGGAAATTCCGCGTAAAATGACCCCCAAAACGGTCGAAAACGGACCAATTTTGAAAATTCCAATTTTTGCCATTTTCTCGGTTATTTGAAGAGATACGTCAAAAACGAATACGGAATCGTGATCCTGAGGAAATTCCGCGTAAAATGACCCCCAAAACGGTCGAAAACGGACCAATTTTGAAAATTCCAATTTTTGCCATTTTCTCGGTTATTTGAAGAGATACGTCAAAAACGAATACGGAATCGTGATCCTGAGGAAAATCCGCGTAAAATGACACCCAAAACGGTCGAAAACGGACCAATTTAAAAAATTCCAAAATTTGCATTTTTCTCGCTTATTTGAAGAGATACGTCAAAAACGAATGCGGAATCGTGATCCTGAGGAAATTCCGCGTAAAATGACCCCCAAAACGGTCGAAAACGGACCAATTTTGAAAATACGAATTTTTGCCATTTTCTCGCTTATTTGAAGAGATACGTCAAAAACGAATACGGAATCGTGATCCTGAAGAAATTCCGCGTAAAATGACCCCCAAAACGGTCGAAAACGGACCAATTTTGAAAATACCAATTTTTGCCATTTTCTCGCTTATTTGAAGAGATACGTCAAAAACGAATACGGAATCGTGATCCTGAGAAAATTCCGCGTAAAATGACCCCCAAAACGGTCGAAAACGGACCAATTTTGAAAATACCAATTTTTGCCATTTTCTCGCTTATTTGAAGAGATACGTCAAAAACGAATACGGAATCGTGATCCTGAGGAAATTCCGCGTAAAATGACCCCCAAAACGGTCGAAAACGGACCAATTTTGAAAATTCCAATTTTTGCCATTTTCTCGCTTATTTGAAGAGATACGTCAAAAACGAATACGGAATCGTGATCCTGAAGAAATTCCGCGTAAAATGACCCCCAAAACGGTCGAAAACGGACCAATTTTGAAAATACCAATTTTTGCCATTTTCTCGCTTATTTGAAGAGATACGTCAAAAACGAATACGGAATCGTGATCCTGAGGAAATTCCGCGTAAAATGACCCCCAAAACGGTCGAAAACGGACCAATTTTGAAAATAACAATTTTTGCCATTTTCTCGCTTATTTGAAGAGATACGTCAAAAACGAATATGGAATCGTGATCCTGAGGAAATTTCGCGTAAAATGACCCCCAAAACGGTCGAAAACGGACCAATTTTGAAAATTCCAATTTTTGCCATTTTCTCGCTTATTTGAAGAGATACGTCAAAAACGAATACGGAATCGTGATCCTGAGGAAATTCCGCGTAAAATGACCCCCAAAACGGTCGAAAACGGACCAATTTTGAAAATTCCAATTTTTGCCATTTTCTCGGTTATTTGAAGAGATACGTCAAAAACGAATACGGAATCGTGATCCTGAGGAAATTCCGCGTAAAATGACCCCCAAAATGGTCGAAAACGGACTAATTTTGAAAATACCAATTTTTGCCATTTTCTCGCTTATTTGAAGAGATACGTCAAAAACGAATACGGAATCGTGATCCTGAGGAAATTCCGCGTAAAATGACCCCCAAAACGGTCGAAAACGGACCAATTTAGAAAATTTCAATTTTTGCCATTTTCTCGCTTATTTGAAGAGATACGTCAAAAACGAATACGGAATCGTGATCCTGAGGAAATTCCGCGTAAAATGACCCCCAAAACGGTCGAAAACGGACCAATTTTGAAAATTCCAATTTTTGCCATTTTCTCGCTTATTTGAAGATGTTCGGTATTCGCGAACTTATGTAGCTTAAACTTAAGAGTCCCCATATCGGTTTGGACCACCCCCAGAGGGCTAACCATATGGGGAGAAGCCAGTAGCCTACGGTATTCGGCCGTAATAACATCTCGGAGCTACCGGTGCGAGTGCTTACAACACTTTATTCTTGTTTTGTGCGGTTTTCTCCACGATCACTACTACACGTCACTTCGCCAGGGGATCCCCGAAGCAACGAATTCAACGCACCTTAATCCATCGAGCCCAGGTAGGTCCACAAACGATAGTGGGGGTTTCGTTACCTGTCGGCTTCGTAATTTCGCGTACAACACGTACATTTTTTGGTCCTTCGAGCCGGATTTACGATAGATCCGCAATCGCGATAGCATAGACCGCCCAGGTGCTGCTATCGTACATTTCGTTCATCAAAATTTTCGTTTGTTTTGTCATAGCTTGCGTCATTCGGACCAAGCTACAGTCGTCCAAGACTACCCACCAGGATACGCAGACACATTTGTCTGTCGAGACGCCACACATTTGGTTTGGCGTCCTCTATCTTTCCTTGTTCACTCGACTAGTAGTTAGTTTCTTTCCTTGTCAACCACTTGACATTACTTGACCATTCGGGTCCTATTTCGCAGAACTATAGACACACGCCCTACATTCGGTTTGGCGTCCTATATCGTTCTTTGTCAATCTTGCATCACTTCGTTTCGTTCCTTGTCACACGCTTGACATTGAGTGGCTAATCGAGTCACTTTCACAGTTTTGTATACACTTTGTCTTTGCATTCTGCACGTGTGGTATATACAATGACCACCATGGATAGAGTTGTTGTAGCCGGACCCCAGCTGTTGCGGCGAATGAAAAATCTGGCTCTAACCGAGGGTACAGATCTTAACGATCAGGCCAATCAATCGGCCATAATAGCAAATTTTGAAATGGCTCAAGAAATTCGGGCCGAATCAAAACAACTCTTTAGGGGCTGCTTAATCGATGAAGAAGAAGTTGAAAAGCTCGATAAAATTAATCAACTCGAAATCGACATCGACGCGGCTTTTGGTAAATTAAAGGCACTCCACGTTTTAGTACTGAGGATCATAGACGCCAATAAAGCAGCGTCGGTACAGGACAAATCCTCCGCGCCCGTTCAACCCAGTATCAGACTTGCGCCAATAAATCTTATTAAATTTGACGGTTCTGTAAAGGGTTCGCGTTTCCGGGGTCGAATCACTTAACACGTACGGGTTCTTTTGTCGTTTTTAAACAAACTCACATTTAAATACTCAAGATGATTTTTATTCACAAGTCACGGTTCTCGATTTCTACCGCATTACAGTTCTATTATTAATATTGTTCTGTTCTATTCTTACAATGAGTTTGGGGATATATATATATATATATATATAACGGTTGCTATCAGTACAAATATTAGGGTACTGGATCATCACATGATGTCCAAGGGTTGAAATCATCACATGATGTTCAAAAGTTTCCCGTAATTACTAATTAGTTTAACAAAAGATAAATGCTAATGTGTATAGAACTACTATTAGAAATAATGTTGATGCAGTGTACATAACATTCCCTCCCCCCTTAGAGAAAGGTAACAAGCTCAATTAAAATGCGCTCGAAGATTTGCACCAAGTTGGACAAAATCACTTTGATTAACATGCGCACTAGCACTAGCACTTGTTGATGACGGTTGTGGAACAACCATCATTGGTGTTGATGCAGTTGTAGTTGTAGCAGTTGCAGCTACTGGGGTTGGAGATGTTGCTGGAGCAGTCATCGGCTGATTTAAGACGTTTAAACACACGTCTCGACCTGCATTATTTTTGCGCATACACATTATGTATTTACAAAGAAAACTTCGTTTCTGATAACATTTTACAAAGATGTAGCAACAAATTATTACACAAATTAAGTACGTTATGATTTGTGTGAACCAAGAATGATGAATGAGGTGCGGAGATATTTGAGAACTAATAATTTCCTTATGTACAACATCTAAACGATGAGACAAAGAGTTGATTACATCGAGATTAACATTTTCAGTGTGAAATTCCTTAATAGGGTATCTGTCAATAGCATTTTTAATTCGTTGGGAAGTACAACATGTATCATTTAATAAACTTAAACTAGGTGAAAATGATTCACATTCGGAAATAAATGCTTTTGATGGTACAAGGGTTACCGATTTACTATACGCTTTACATGAATTATTATCTAATGAGAAAATTCCAATGCCTAATAACTTTATGTTTAGATTTCGTATATCATCATTACATATTATATTCAAAGTTTGTTCTTCTGATAACACAAATAACCATTTATTTAAATGCTGTAGCTTATACCAAGTGTTAATATTACCTCTAATGAGATGGATAATACAAGATTTTGGAATGGTTCTAGTGTTTAACATTAACTGAGTTTCGCACATGGGATGATTATGAGTTTGATAAAGAATGTTATTTTGTTTACAAATCCTAACATTACCGGTGATGATTTTGCAAAATTCTAGATCCGACATTACCAAATATTGTAACCTGTTATTCGACATCGCAATATATTTATTTTGCGGTTGGATAAAAACATAGGTTGTGTTACTGTCGTGGTCTTTGTCGTGTGGTACTGGCAAAGGGATTAAATGGTATATAGTAAAGGTGATATCCATAACTAATGGAACTGAAATAATATAGATTAATTCCGAATGGGAGTAAAATAGTTTTAATTCTGTAAGTTTTAGAAGATCGTGAGCATTTCCAGATATTAAGGGTAAAGGATATTTTTTTGAACTGGGGACATAAGAAAGTGTGCTCTTTAATTCTCTAAGAAATTGTTCAGGAGTGATAATAAATGGATGTACTTGATTCCTTTGAGCAAATAAGACAACGGATATTAAATTGTCAAAATCTTTATCAAGTGAATGCGTTAATTGTAATAACAACGTCATATGCTCTGTGACTAGTTGACTTACTTTAATGCCATCTGTAAAATTCTCAATAAAGTTTGTAAAATTATTAAAAACTGCAATATTTTCGTTTAGTTTTTGCTTATATCTCTCAAAGTTAGTGAAAGTTTTATTAAAAGTAGTGAGGCTTTCTTGAACAATTTGTGTTTGTTTTTCTAATAAATCTTTAATATGAGCATTGTTTGAAATAACTTTGTTTATTGCATCAGTATAATATTCAGCATCTGCATTGTCCATGGTACCAAATAATGTTTTAAGAACACTGCCGACGCCATTTATGATTCCCCGCTTTTTGCGTGATTTATGACCAATTAGCTCACTGAAAGATGAATATTTGACGTGAATATGGTTGATATCATGTAGAATAAGTGATAAGGATTGTTTACATAAAGTTTTTTCAAGATGAAAAGGAACGATTAAACATATGTTCTGGGTTGAATGGAACGTATTATTAACAAAATTAAATTTTTCTAAGACCGTGGAGACGTTGAAATGGACTACTAAATTCCAAGTTTCGGAGAAAAAGCTTGCCGGTCCTAAATTTTCAAAGAAAATCCCAGACGATGAATTGATGTTCAAGACCTGATAGGTTGCAATCACTGGTGTGATGCACCTGGAACAATAGAATCTTGATAGTGCTTGAGCCTATTTACATGGACATTATGATTTTTGTTTTTGATACGGATGGTGAAATTTGTAGGAGAGTTTTGTTTTATGATTTCATATGGACCTGTGTATTTGGATGTTAGTTTTTTTGATTTGTTGGGTTTTGATGCGTCATTGGAAAGTAAGACCTTGTCACCAAGATCATAAGAGATGTCCCTTGCTTTTCTGTCGTAATTCTGTTTCGATTTTACCTTAGAATCTACGAGATTGTCTCGAGCTATTTGATGACTTCTATTTAGTTTCAATTTAAGTTGGTCAACATATGAATCGTAGGTATATTTAAATTCGGGAGTTTGAGTTATTGACGATGGTAATTCAGGTTTATTTCCAAAGACGAGTTCATGAGGGGTATATTTAGTGGAAGTATGGACCGAAGTGTTGTAAGAAAACATGGCGAAATTTAACCATTGGTCCCAATCGGTCTGTTTATCGGAAACATAATGTTTGAGATAATCGGCTAGGGTTGCATGACTTCTCTCCAAGGCGCCATTTGTTTGGGGATGATAAGCGGATGTTTGTATTTGCTTAATACGGAAGAGACGTGCAACTTCTTTTAATAATAATGACGAAAAGTCTTGACCTCTATCAGTTAGTATTTGCTTTGGAATACCGAATTTACAAATGAAATGATTTACGAGTTTATTAGCAATAGTTGTTGCCTCATGATTTTTGATAGGAAAGGCTAAGGAATATTTCGTTAGATCATCCTGAAGGGTGAGAATATATTTTTTTCCTGTTTCGGTGATAGGTAATGGTCCCACAATGTCAAGAGCTATGCGCTCGAAAGGTAACGTTGACGTAGTTGTGATTTCCATTGGATGCCTACGAACTTTGCGTTCTGTCTTATTTCGTTGACATAAATCACATTGTTTAACATATCGTTTAATGTCATCTTTCATGTTTTTCCATTTATACTTGTATTTAATTTTACTTAATGTACGTTGATAACCGGGATGTCCTGCCGACGGATTATCATGATACTCTTTAAGAATAACAGGAATCTGGTCACGAGGTGGGTCAACGATTTTATTGTGACAAATTGTGATTTTGATCTTTGTGTTTCGAAAAACGAAGAATATTATTTCTTTCAGCTTTTCTATTTTTAAATTATTTGTCCTGTTTGTAAACTTCGGAAATGAAATCGATGTAATATTATCTTGGACTAATTTGATCTTTAGATTTTGTAAGGCATAGAAAAAATCACGATAGGAATAATTGTCCCAAAAGTTTCTTTTAACCACCATGTGATAGATGTTAAATTTATTTTTGATCGATTTAGATTCTAAAGCCTCGTAAATTTCTACAGGTTTGGCTTTTAATATCTCGTAATTATCAATAATGTCCTGGATTTCTAATGGAAGATCATCTGACATTTCGAAGTCTGACGATATGCAATGTGCAATATGATCTTTTTGCTCTAAGATGGAACTTTCGTTTTCATTAAAATCATGAACGTTTGGTGATAATTGATTATAATAAAATTTTATGAAATCATCATATGATTCTTTTTGCGTGTGGACAGAAAATACATTGCTTTCGTCCTGAGGAATGTGGTTAGATTTTATTCGGGAGAGGCTGTCTGCATTGGTATTAGAGGTTCCTGATTTATAAACAATGCGATAGTTATACTCCTCTAATTTTAATCTCCAGCGGATTAAACGAGAACCTGGATCACGAACGTTAAAAAGCCATGTAAGCGGCCGGTGATCTGTTACGATTATGAATTCTCTGCCATATAAATATGGTCGAAAATGCTTCACTGCCCATACGATTGCTAGCAATTCTCTTTCTGTGGTGGAATAATTTGATTCGGCTCTGTTTAAAGTCCTGGACGCGTAAGCAACAGGTAAATCGTTCGGTACTTCGCCCTGTGATAGTATAGCTCCTATTGCGTAACCACTAGCATCTGTTGTTAAAATAAAAGGTTTGGTAAAATTCGGATATTGCAGAATTTTGTCTGATTTTAAGAGATCTTTCAATGTTTCAAATGCCGTTTGTTGACTCTGTGTCCAACTAAATATTACGTTCTTTTTCAACAAACTTGTCAAAGGTTTCGTAATTTTGCTGAAGTTTTCAATAAACCTCCTATAATATCCTACTAAACCTAGGAACGATTTGATTTCTTTTGCATTTTTGGGAACTGGGTATTCAGCAACGGTTTTGATTCTATCAGGATTTGGTTTGACTCCTTCATTAGTAATCAAATGTCCGAGGTACGCAACTTCTTTTTGCATGAAATTGCACTTATCTGGTTGCAGCTTTAAGTTATGTTTGTCTAATCTAGCGAATACTTCTCTCAATTTATGTTCGTGAGTTTGAAGCGAGTCAGCGTAAATAACTATGTCGTCCATGTAGACAAAACATTTGAGTCCTTGAAGCCCAGAAAGAACATTGTTCATTAATCTTTGAAAAGTTGCCGGAGCATTTTTCAAACCAAATGGCATTCGTGTGAATTGAAAATGTCCAGACGGGGTAGAAAATGCCGTCTTATTGCTATCCTCATTTTTTACTTTGATCTGATGGAAACCTGAAGCTAAATCTAGTACTGTAAAATATTTAGAATTACCCAATTGATCGAGAATGTCTGTGATGTTTGGCAATGGATAAGCGTCACCAATAGTAATATCGTTAAGTCGCCTGTAATCAACGACGATACGCCATTTAATTTCTCCTGAATTATCAGTGCGTTTGGGAACGACCCACAAAGAAGCATTCCATGGTGATGTTGAAGGTTTTATTATTCCTTCGTTAAGCATATTCGAGATTTGCCTGTCGACTTCCTTTTTGTGTATTTCGGGATATCTGTAAGTTTTGGATGAAATTGGTGTTGACGATGTTGTCGGAATTTCATGGACAATTGTGTTAGTGAATGTCAACTCATCACCCTCTAATTGAAATATCCTATTATATTCGTGACAAATTTTTAGGACAGAGTCGCGTTCTTCACTATTAAGATGACTCGTGTCAATAGCCTTGTTCAAAATCTCATTACGACTGATGTCAATATTAATTGCCTTATCGTTTCTTGGACAGTCTATTAAGAAAACATTATCTTGATCAAACTTTTCCAATGTGAGATCTAATTTGTTTATTTGGACTGGTCTATCGTTCGTATTTAGAATGGTACTTAATGCTTTGTTATTCGCATTGACAGTTGTTATACTGTGGGATAGGTAAACACCATCTACGATTTCTACATTGGGTGTTATTCCTTCTTTGATTTCCGGATTTAGGACATTGAACTCGATAAGAGTTTCAGTACGTGGTTGGATAATGTATGATTGCGAATTTTCACATTCTGGATTTTGAGATATTTCTTGTGTTTCAGAACTTTTTATGTCGTTGGTTCGGAATTGTAATGGGATTCGTACATTGCGAAAAATCAAGGTATTAGATCCGTAATCGACAATAGCTTTTGCATTACATAGGAAATCATTGCCTAGAAGTCCGTCAAGGGGTATGTTGGTTTCATGAGCAAGCACGTGAAATTTGTGTTCGTATTGTAAACGATCGAAATGTAAATTAAGAAAACTGTAACCAACACTCTGAACTGGATTTTTGTTTTTATTAATACCGTTTAATTTAAGAGTTTCATCGGTATAAAAAGGAGTTTCTCCATCAAGTGCGTTCGATTTGACTAAACTGATATTAGCTCCGCCGTCTAGCAACAGCTTTAGTGTACGTTTCCGCGATTCATCTGCAGGAATTTCGATAAACGCAGTTGTTTCGTTAATGTTTAAAATTGTTGCGTTGATGTTTTTTATTAGAGAAGGTGGTGCATTTCGGTTTGCTTGATTTCCGATTTGGCCAGAATTCGATTGAAAAGAATTTGGGGACGAAGAAGATTGTTGTGATGAGATGTTCGATTTTTTACTGTTATTGTAAGCACGTTTTCTGCATTCGTGGATTAAATGACCTTTCTTTTTACAGTAATTGCAAAATTTATTGGAGTTAGGGTTATGTGATCCATTTTGCGATGATGACGAAACCTGATTAACGAGCTCGGGTTTAGCCCTGGAATTAGATTTGTCGAAACTAGAAGAGTTATTAGAGTATTTGGAATTACGAAAACAGTTTGATGATGTATGACCGCTCTTATGACAGACGGTACAGAATGGTTTCGATTTAGAAGAATTTTCAGCCATAAACAACAATGTTTGCTCCTCGTGCAAAGCGACTTGATAAGCGTCTGGAAGAGTCGTTACGCCACGGGATCTTGATATTAGACTGATATCGGGTTTAACACCTATCAAAAATGTTTGTAGAGCAATTTGCTCGATTGTCGCAAATCTACCTTTAATTTCCGAATTGTCTTCTGCCATGCTGCGTGCAGCTTGTAAAAGACGAGTGGTGCAAGTTTCTAATCTTTGTATGTAATTAGCGATAGATTCCTTAACGAATTGTTTACAGGATTGCAATTCTAACAAAAGATGTCCGTAATGTTTGTGATCGGAATAAGAACTGATTAAAAATTCTTTTAATTGTCGCCAAGACGTGAGATTGTGATTATTTACTGTAAGTTCGGCTTTATCTCTTAATTGAGAACAAATATATGCATAGAGAATAGGACGTTGAACTGATGATGCTAAGTCATGTGCATTTTGACAATTTCTGATAAAGCTTTGTAATGATTCCCGATCTCCTGAATAGGGTGAAATAAATTTTAATAAAATTGATAAGGGAACTTCTTCTCTGACAGAAGGTGTTGTTGAAGTAAGATGTGTAGGGTTAAAACGATTGGAGTTGCTTGTATTAGCTTGATGCGGTAACGGAACAGAGTTTGTCGTTAGATTTCGATTTGGAAATAATGAGAACTGATCGACTTGTGATGTCGTAAAAAGGGTTTGCATTGGGACATTTGGTTGTGAGATAGGATTTTCTTGAGACGAGGACGACTGTTGGGAAATGGTAGAGGATTGGTTGTCAGTACTTTGTTGTCCTGTCAATTGTGTCCTTAGTTGTGATAAAGGTAAATTGTCTTCGTTAGTATCTTTCATGGTTAAGGATTTGGAACTTTTGACTCTTGTAAAAATTACTTTACAATCCGAAATTCGGTACGATTTTGTCGAATAATAGAGTTAGAATATTAGGTACTTACAAAATGAGAAAAAGAATCTTCATTCCTTCCTCCGATGTGGATCTCGATGAGAGCGACCTAAATGAACTGATAAAATGAAACCGCGTGTTATTTGCGTATAATTCACTTTCCGGATTAGCTTTTACTTTTAACACTGGTACTACACTATGTTCGCGACGGGTTGGATTTTTGTCGATCCTCCGTGTTGATTTTATTATTTTGCGCAATTTCTTACACAACGATTTTGTGCAGTATCCCGCTTCTGACACCAATTTGTAAAGGGTTCGCGTTTCCGGGGTCGAATCACTTAACACGTACGGGTTCTTTTGTCGTTTTTAAACAAACTCACATTTAAATACTCAAGATGATTTTTATTCACAAGTCACGGTTCTCGATTTCTACCGCATTACAGTTCTATTATTAATATTGTTCTGTTCTATTCTTACAATGAGTTTGGGGATATACACTGCGTTTCATATAAAATGCACCACCTAGAAGGAGTAGGCGTAGAATGTAGAAATTTGTGTGAGAAGACTGTTGCATATAGACAAACAATTGATTAAAATTTGAAAGAAAAACTACTACTTGTTTAGATAATATACCGAGTGTTATTCGATTTTTATTAATTTTTTGATTATGTTTTAAAGATACTTGAGTAAGATTCTTTTGCAATTTTACTTGACATTTGTCATTATTGTGCTTGCAAAAATGCTACGAGTTCACACACGAGGTAATTTTCAACAGATAACACCTATTGAAAGAGGGCGAATGATTGGGATGCATGAGGCTAGTTTACCATTTCGGGAAATCACCAGAAGACTCGGCCCAACGGATTCTACGATATTAAGAACAAGTCGAGAATGGAACAACGAAGAGCTACAAATGCGTCGCAGGGGTACCGACCGTTTCAGAGTCACCCAAGAACGCGAAGATCATTTGCTAAGAAGAAGTGTTATTCAGTACCCTTGGTAACCATAACGATCAGTCGGGATGGACTGGATGACAGCAATTGGGCACAGAATCCGAGGAGTACCATCTACCGCCAAATTCGTTCCTTTGGCTTGAGATCTTATCGTCCAAACTGCAAACTTCCCTTACCACAAGAACACAAAACTACCAGGCTTCACTGGTACCAAGACAGGCAGCAATGGCTGTAATAGTGGAATGTCATAATGTTTAGGAACAAGTCTAGGTCTTGTTTGTGGCACTCTGATGGACGCATACGTGTTCGAAGGCCTTGAGGCCAAAGGTAAAATCTGGAATTTGTACAGAGATGTCATATCGCTCTAACACCTGGAGTAATGATATGGGATGGTATACACATCTGTTGAAGTACTCCCTTAGTGTTCATTCCAGGCACGCTAAATGCCCGGCATTACATCGTTAACGTGTTAAATCAATTTCTTTTTCCTTATCTCTCGAACCGTCGAAGAACATCTTTTGAACAAGATAATGCGTGGCCTCATGTGGCCATATTAACTTAAAGAGTGTTTGACGAAAATAACGTCAACTTCTTACCCTGGCCTGCCCTATCACCAGATTTATCAACAATCGAAAATGTTTAGGATTTAATGCATAGAAGGCTGCGCAATTTACCACATCCTCCAAAGACTTTGGAAGAATGTCTACAACAAATTCAAAATGCCTGGAATGAGATACCCCAGCAGGCAATAGATCATCTCATTTTAAGCATGCCTAGAAGAATACAGTCTTGTATTCGTGCACGTGGAATTTTAACACATTATTAACATTTCTTGTGTTAGACATTTTATTTTTTCTTTGAAATTTTAATCAAATGTTTGTCTACGTGCAATAGTCTTCTCCACCAAATTTCAACATTCTACGCCTACTCCTTCTAGGTGGTGCATTTTATTTGAAACGCAGTGTATATATATATATATATATAACGGTTGCTATCAGTACAAATATTAGGGTACTGGATCATCACATGATGTCCAAGGGTTGAAATCATCACATGATGTTCAAAAGTTTCCCGTAATTACTAATTAGTTTAACAAAAGATAAATGCTAATGTGTATAGAACTACTATTAGAAATAATGTTGATGCAGTGTACATAACAGTTCTCTAAAGACGTGGCCAACCTTCAGAGACCTATTTAACGTGTCGGTTCATACAAACTCTGTTTATTCTAACATCGAGAAATTTCATCTTTTGATAACGCACCTTTCAGGTGAACCATTGTCCATAGTAAAGTCACTGCCGATCAGCGACGGTAATTATCTTATAGTGTACGAGAGTTTAACAAATCGGTATGAAAACAAAAGACTTTTGGTTACCACATATTGGCAGTCTGTTAATAACGCCAACAAAGCCACATCTGACTCGCCACAGTCTCTCCGTAATTTAGTGAATAGTTTTACGGAGAATCTGGCGGCACTAGATCAAATTAGTGGATCACTAAACCCACCAGCGTCACTAGATCTGTGGGATTTTACGTTATTCAATTGGATGCTGAGCAAGCTCGACGCTTCAACTCGGAAGCGATTCGAATTAGAAAATAGTGGGATCGACTTCCCTACTTTTAATTCTCTGAAAGAGTTCGTGTTGCGACAATGCAAAGCTCTCGAAGTAAACAATGCTTCGACCGGGCCAATGTCGCAACGAGCGAACCCGGTCCCAAAACCATTAAAACTCGACACACCCCACCAGCGGGGTGTCGTACCGCACGCTTTTGTGGCAAATACGGGTAATAAGTGTATCTTTTGTGAATCGGTGCATTTGATATATCAGTGTCCATCCTTTCTCGGACAGTCGCCGCAAGAACGATATCAATCCATCAAAAACAAACGTTGTTGTATCAATTGCTTACGGAACACACACTTGATAAAGGACTGCCCGTCTAAGAGTACTTGTCGCAAGTGCAAAGCTCAACATCACACCTTACTGCATTTCGAGAACCTGGAGCAAATTGCGACAAATACAGATCATCACGTAATGACACAAACGCCGTCCGATTTATGACTCCCGACAAACCCAGTTTTCGATGACACTTCATTATCTCTAATTTCTACTACCACACTTTTGGCAACCATTGTTCTTAATGTTCAAGATAGTAATAAAAAGGTACACACCGTTCGCGCGTTGCTTGACAGTGGCAGTCAAGCATCGTTTATTACAGAGAAATGTCAGCGACAACTGGGCCTCGGTCTTATTCAATCCCATACCCCTATCATTGGGCTTAACGGAATAGAATCGAAAGCTGGTAGTATGGTATCGTGCATCGTACAACCATACTTCCGCGAAACACCACGTCTTTCGGTTTCGGCGATGGTAATAAAAAAGATTTTTGAAGACATGCCTGTAGTTAACCCACCTGCCAATCGGCCACATCGGTTCGTAATAATTGGCGACATTAAACAAATGTATAGGCAGAATCTGGTAGTTCCGCACCACCGCGACTATCAACGAATTCTGTGGCGGTTTCACCCGGATGAACCCATTCGTGAATTCCGTCTAAACACGGTGACCTACGGTGTAGCTTCAGCATCCTTTTTAGCGCTTCGCACCTTGGCAGAATTAGCAAACATCGGCCAAGATCAGTTCCCGTTGGCTTCGCGAGCGTTATCGAAACACACTTACGTCGATGATATCGTTACGGGCACAAACTCTGTGGCGGATGGTCAACAACTTCGGACCGAACTCGAAACATTGTTAGGCTCGGCCGGGTTTCATCTCCATAAATGGTCGAGCAACTGCCCCGAATTAGTGCCATGTAATCGGGATTCGCACGAGGACGACACACACACGTTTGATAGTGAGTCGTTTCAAAAAATTTTAGGCCTAAGTTGGCACGCGCAGAAGGACAGTTTCTCATACATCGTAAAACCATTGAATCGTACTTGCACTAAGCGTACCATCTTATCAGACTTGGCACGCATCTTCGATCCTCTCGGATTTTTAGCGCCGTTAACTTTCTTTGCAAAGTGTCTAATTCAAAACTTATGGACACTCGGGTTACAATGGGATGACGAACCTCCTGAACCCATAGTTGACAAATGGCAGAAGTACTCGGAAGAGCTTCTCTTATTAACGCGATTAGAGATCCCTCGTCACTTGAATTCAGATTCTTACAGTGCATTGCCGTTGCACGGATTTTGTGATGCTTCCGAATCGGGATTTAGTGGAGCTGCTTACTTCCGGTACGAAATGGCGGACGGTCAAATAATTACGAAATTAGTTTGCGCTAAGACTAAAGTCGCCCCACTAAAGCGGGTCACGTTGCCTCGATTGGAACTTTGCGGCGCCCTACTACTTGCTAAACTGATATCTCGGGTCTGCAAAACATATCAGAATTGTTTCAAATTCCAAAAGATCTTTGCGTGGAGCGACTCCACCGTTGCGTTATCTTGGATCAAATCATCACCACATCGGTGGAAATGCTTTGTAGCGAACCGAGTCGCACAGATTCAAGATTTGATACTCCCTTCTAGTTGGAAACATATTCGTTCCGAGCAGAACCCTGCAGACTGTGCTTCACGCGGTTTGCTCCCATCGGAGCTGGTGCACCATTCCTTATGGTGGGCGGGCCCCACGTGGTTGCAGCTCCCGGAGATAGAATGGAATCTCGGAGATTCAAACGAACCAAATCAATCGCTCGCGGTCATGACGGAGAAAAAAAAGGTGGTCCTGAATGTGGTCACATCTCGAGATCATATTATTGACATTTTGTTGAATCGATATTCCTCTCTACGGAGTGTGCAACGAGTGATAGCAATTCTTATTCGATTCACCCGCAACGCGCGAAACAAAGAGCAACGAGTCAGTGGCCACTTAACTGCAGAGGAACTTCACAGAGCTCTGTTAGTTGTTATTCAACATGTTCAAGCCAGTTGTTTTGAGGATGAAATCGCGAAGCTACGACGCAATCAACAACTGTCAAAGGCACTTCAACGGCTCAATCCGTTTCTAGATAACCGCGGTTTTCTTAGGGTGGGCGGCCGTCTTCAACATCCGCAACTTCCCTTCGACGCAAAACATCCCTTGCTTCTTCCTTCAAAACACCGATTAACTGAGCTGCTAATAGAACAATTTCACGTGCGATATTTACATGTAGGACACCAAACGCTATTCTTCTTGTTGCGCCAGCAGTTCTGGATCCTCTCAGCGAAGCGCGCCATTAGATCGGTTGTATCACGGTGTATTCGATGCTTTCGCACCCGTCCGACGTCAATTACACCACTCATGGGAAACTTACCTTATGCCAGAGTCAACCACCTCAAACCCTTTTTGCATAGTGGGGTGGATTTTGCCGGTCCTATTAGTCTGACAATGGGCAAATATCGAGGAACGCGAACGACGAAGGCATACATTTGCATTTTTGTGTGTATGTCGGTAAAGGCGGTACATCTCGAGTTAGTATCTGATTTAACTTCGGACGCCTTTATTGGAGCATTTCGACGCTTCATAGCTCGTCGTGGTAGATGTACAGACTTATACAGTGACTGTGGCACTAACTTTGTTGGAGCAAATAAAGTGCTGCTACAGTATGCCAAAAATGCAGCAAGCTCACTAGAATTAAAATGGCATTTTAATCCTCCGAATGCCCCAAATTTCGGGGGTCTCTGGGAAGCAGGGGTGCGGTCCGTGAAAACTCACATCGTTCGGGTAATCGGTGCCCAATCACTTACCTTCGAAGAGTACTACACCCTGCTAGTGCAAATCGAAGCGGTCTTGAACTCTCGCCCACTATTCTCTGCTAGCCCTGATCCCAACGATTTGAATGCTTTAACACCTGGCCACTTTTTAGTATTAGAACCTTTATCTAGTCCGCCAGATGAAGACGTCAGTACTCTAAAACTCAATCGCCTCAATCGCTGGCAATTAATCCAACGTTGTCAACGCGATTTTTGGAAGCGGTATCAAACAGAGTACCTTCACACTTTGCAGCAAAGGACAAAGTGGTGCAAGGTGGAACAGGGCCCGCAGATCAATTCAGTAGTTGTGATAAGGAACGATAATGCCCCCCCGCTGCAGTGGCGGTTAGGGCGAATTGTGGAACTCCACCCCGGTGCAGACGGAGTTCATAGAGTCGCCACTATTAAAACTTCCCTGGGTCTACTAAAACGACCAATTTCAAAATTGTGCCCACTGCCAGTAGAGTCCTAACTTTACTGCATCTCTGTAGATTAGTTCTTATTCTTTTTACAATTTCCTTTTCTTTTTCGTAGAATAGTTCATTAGATGTAGATATAGATTCTTTAGTCATAGGTTCAAAAATATCGCTTATGCGTATTTTGGTGGGCGGGATGTTCGGTATTCGCGAACTTATGTAGCTTAAACTTAAGAGTCCCCATATCGGTTTGGACCACCCCCAGAGGGCTAACCATATGGGGAGAAGCCAGTAGCCTACGGTATTCGGCCGTAATAACATCTCGGAGCTACCGGTGCGAGTGCTTACAACACTTTATTCTTGTTTTGTGCGGTTTTCTCCACGATCACTACTACACGTCACTTCGCCAGGGGATCCCCGAAGCAACGAATTCAACGCACCTTAATCCATCGAGCCCAGGTAGGTCCACAAACGATAGTGGGGGTTTCGTTACCTGTCGGCTTCGTAATTTCGCGTACAACACGTACAGAAGAGATACGTCAAAAAAGAATACGGAATCGTGATCCTGAGGAAATTCCGCGTAAAATGACCCCCAAAACGGTCGAAAACGGACCAATTTTGAAAATTCCAATTTTTGCCATTTTCTCGCTTATTTGAAGAGATACGTCAAAAACGAATACGGAATCGTGATCCTGAGGAAATTCCGCGTAAAATGACCCCCAAAACGTTCGAAAACGGACCAATTTTGAAAATTCCAATTTTTGCCATTTTCTCGGTTATTTGAAGAGATACGTCAAAAACGAATACGGAATCGTGATCCTGAGGAAATTCCGCGTAAAATGACCCCCAAAACGGTCGAAAACGGACCAATTTTGAAAATACCAATTTTTGCCATTTTCTCGCTTATTTGAAGAGATACGTCAAAAAAGAATACGGAATCGTGATCCTGAGGAAATTCCGCGTAAAATGACCCCCAAAACGGTCGAAAACGGACCAATTTTGAAAATTCCAATTTTTGCCATTTTCTCGCTTATTTGAAGAGATACGTCAAAAACGAATACGGAATCGTGATCCTGAGGAAATTCCGCGTAAAATGACCCCCAAAACGGTCGAAAACGGACCAATTTTGAAAATTCCAATTTTTGCCATTTTCTCGCTTATTTGAAGAGATACGTCAAAAACGAATACGGAATCGTGATCCTGAGGAAATTCCGCGTAAAATGACCCCCAAAACGGTCGAAAACGGACCAATTTTGAAAATACCAATTTTTGCCATTTTCTCGCTTATTTGAAGAGATACGTCAAAAACGAATACGGAATCGTGATCCTGAGGAAATTCCGCGTAAAATGACCCCCAAAACGGTCGAAAACGGACCAATTTTGAAAATACCAATTTTTGCCATTTTCTCGCTTATTTGAAGAGATACGTCAAAAACGAATACGGAATCGTGATCCTGAGGAAATTCCGCGTAAAATGACCCCCAAAACGGTCGAAAACGGACCAATTTTGAAAATTCCAATTTTTGCCATTTTCTCGGTTATTTGAAGAGATACGTCAAAAACGAATACGGAATCGTGATCCTGAGGAAATTCCGCGTAAAATGACCCCCAAAACGATCAAAAACGGACCAATTTTGAAAATACCAATTTTTGCCATTTTCTCGCTTATTTGAAGAGATACGTCAAAAACGAATACGGAATCGTGATCCTGAGGAAATTCCGCGTAAAATGACCCCCAAAACGGTCGAAAACGGACCAATTTTGAAAATACCAATTTTTGCCATTTTCTCGCTTATTTGAAGAGATACGTCAAAAACGAATACGGAATCGTGATCCTGAGGAAATTCCGCGTAAAATGACCCCCAAAACGGTCGAAAACGGACCAATTTTGAAAATTCCAATTTTTGTCATTTTCTCGGTTATTTGAAGAGATACGTCAAAAACGAATACGGAATCGTGATCCTGAGGAAATTCCGCGTAAAATGACCCCCAAAATGGTCGAAAACGGACTAATTTTGAAAATACCAATTTTTGCCATTTTCTCGCTTATTTGAAGAGATACGTCAAAAACGAAAACGGAATCGTGATCCTGAGGAAATTCCGCGTAAAATGACCCCCAAAACGGTCGAAAACGAACCAATTTGGAAAATTCCAATTTTTGCCATTTTCTCGCTTATTTGAAGAGATACGTCAAAAACGAATACGGAATCGTGATCCTGAGGAAATTCCGCGTAAAATGACCCCCAAAACGGTCGAAAACGGACCAATTTTGAAAATTCCAATTTTTGCCATTTTCTCGGTTATTTGAAGAGATACGTCAAAAACGAATACGGAATCGTGATCCTGAGGAAATTCCGCGTAAAATGACCCCCAAAACGGTCGAAAACGGACCAATTTTGAAAATAGCAATTTTTGCCATTTTCTCGCTTATTTGAAGAGATACGTCAAAAACGAATACGGAATCGTGATCCTGAGGAAATTCCGCGTAAAATGACCCCCAAAACGGTCGAAAACGGACCAATTTTGAAAATTCCAATTTTTGCCATTTTCTCGGTTATTTGAAGAGATACGTCAAAAACGAATACGGAATCGTGATCCTGAGGAAATTCCGCGTAAAATGACCCCCAAAACGGTCGAAAACGGACCAATTTTGAAAATTCCAATTTTTGCCATTTTCTCGGTTATTTGAAGAGATACGTCAAAAACGAATATGGAATCGTGATCCTGAGGAAATTCCGCGTAAAATGACCCCCAAAACGGTCGAAAACGGACCAATTTTGAAAATTCCAATTTTTGCCATTTTCTCGCTTATTTGAAGAGATACGTCAAAAACGAATACGGAATCGTGATCCTGAGGAAATTCCGCGTAAAATGACCCCCAAAATGGTCGAAAACGGACTAATTTTGAAAATACCAATTTTTGCCATTTTCTCGCTTATTTGAAGAGATACGTCAAAAACGAATACGGAATCGTGATCCTGAGGAAATTCCGCGTAAAATGACCCCCAAAACGGTCAAAAACGGACCAATTTTGAAAATACCAATTTTTGCCATTTTCTCGCTTATTTGAAGAGATACGTCAAAAACGAATACGGAATCGTGATCCTGAGGAAATTCCGCGTAAAATGACCCCCAAAACGGTCGAAAACGGACCAATTTTGAAAATACCAATTTTTGCCATTTTCTCGCTTATTTGAAGAGATACGTCAAAAACGAATACGGAATCGTGATCCTGAAGAAATTCCGCGTAAAATGACCCCCAAAACGGTCGAAAACGGACCAATTTTGAAAATACCAATTTTTGCCATTTTCTCGCTTATTTGAAGAGATACGTCAAAAACGAATACGGAATCGTGATCCTGAGGAAATTCCGCGTAAAATGACCCCCAAAACGGTCGAAAACGGACCAATTTTGAAAATTCCAATTTTTGCCATTTTCTCGGTTATTTGAAGAGATACGTCAAAAACGAATACGGAATCGTGATCCTGAGGAAATTCCGCGTAAAATGACCCCCAAAATGGTCGAAAACGGACTAATTTTGAAAATACCAATTTTTGCCATTTTCTCGCTTATTTGAAGAGATACGTCAAAAACGAATACGGAATCGTGATCCTGAGGAAATTCCGCGTAAAATGACCCCCAAAACGGTCGAAAACGAACCAATTTGGAAAATTCCAATTTTTGCCATTTTCTCGCTTATTTGAAGAGATACGTCAAAAACGAATACGGAATCGTGATCCTGAGGAAATTCCGCGTAAAATGACCCCCAAAACGGTCGAAAACGGACCAATTTTGAAAATTCCAATTTTTGCCATTTTCTCGGTTATTTGAAGAGATACGTCAAAAACGAATACGGAATCGTGATCCTGAGGAAATTCCGCGTAAAATGACCCCCAAAACGGTCGAAAACGGACCAATTTTGAAAATACCAATTTTTGCCATTTTCTCGCTTATTTGAAGAGATACGTCAAAAACGAATACGGAATCGTGATCCTGAAGAAATTCCGCGTAAAATGACCCCCAAAACGGTCGAAAACGGACCAATTTTGAAAATACCAATTTTTGCCATTTTCTCGCTTATTTGAAGAGATACGTCAAAAACGAATACGGAATCGTGATCCTGAGGAAATTCCGCGTAAAATGACCCCCAAAACGGTCGAAAACGGACCAATTTTGAAAATTCCAATTTTTGCCATTTTCTCGGTTATTTGAAGAGATACGTCAAAAACGAATACGGAATCGTGATCCTGAGGAAATTCCGCGTAAAATGACCCCCAAAACGGTCGAAAACGGACCAATTTTGAAAATACCAATTTTTGCCATTTTCTCGCTTATTTGAAGAGATACGTCAAAAACGAATACGGAATCGTGATCCTGAGGAAATTCCGCGTAAAATGACCCCCAAAATGGTCGAAAACGGACCAATTTTGAAAATACCAATTTTTGCCATTTTCTCGCTTATTTGAAGAGATACGTCAAAAACGAATACGGAATCGTGATCCTGAGGAAATTCCGCGTAAAATGACCCCCAAAATGGTCGAAAACGGACTAATTTTGAAAATACCAATTTTTGCCATTTTCTCGCTTATTTGAAGAGATACGTCAAAAACGAATACGGAATCGTGATCCTGAGGAAATTCCGCGTAAAATGACCCCCAAAACGGTCGAAAACGAACCAATTTGGAAAATTCCAATTTTTGCCATTTTCTCGCTTATTTGAAGAGATACGTCAAAAACGAATACGGAATCGTGATCCTGAGGAAATTCCGCGTAAAATGACCCCCAAAACGGTCGAAAACGGACCAATTTTGAAAATTCCAATTTTTGCCATTTTCTCGGTTATTTGAAGAGATACGTCAAAAACGAATACGGAATCGTGATCCTGAGGAAATTCCGCGTAAAATGACCCCCAAAACGGTCGAAAACGGACCAATTTTGAAAATACCAATTTTTGCCATTTTCTCGGTTATTTGAAGAGATACGTCAAAAACGAATACGGAATCGTGATCCTGAGGAAATTCCGCGTAAAATGACCCCCAAAACGGTCGAAAACGG